ATAGGGCCACACAAATAAGAGTGAATTGATTCTAACTTATCAGTGGCTCTATTTCCTTTTGAGGAAAAATGTCTCTTGGTCATTTTACCTTCTAAACATGATTCACATGTTAGTAGTGCATCCACTTTCAATGAACTCAAAAGTCCATCAGAGACCAATCTCGAAATCCTATTTAAATTTATATGACCTAAACGTAAGTGCCACAAATAAGTTTGACTCAATTCAGAAATATGTTTTCTTTTATGTGGCAGATTAATGTTATTTCATTCTTTTGGTTGTAGCACACGAGGAGATATATCAAGAATAAAAAGGTCATGTACTCTAGCAGCAGTGTAGATAAAATATTTATTAAACTTTATAACAACAGAGTTATTAGTAAAATAAACATTATTAGCAGCATCCATTATTTTCGAAACTGAAATCAAATTCCTTCTAATAGAAGGTACATAGAAAACATATTTCAAAATTAAACTCTATCACTACTAATCGAAACTCTAATATCTCTTAATGCTAAAGTTGGTGCTAGCTCACCATTTGCTTGAAAAATGCAAACTTCATTCTCACTTAGCCGTCGTGTTTCCTGAAACCCCTGCAAAGTAGTGCAGATATGATTAGTGGCTCCTGAATCTACACCAAAACATGGTAGAGACAGCCACTAAACATGTTTCAACGACATTTAAATTCGAATTACCTTGCTTATTCAACTTTGCCAGATAGGCAGGGCATTGCTTTTTATGATGCCCGGGTTATTTGCAATGATATCACTTTCCTTAGGGCTTTTTTACACCAGCCGCACCTCCAAGTGCCAAAACCTTTTGAGCCTTCTTCTTTTTCTTACCGCCTTTCGATTTAGAAACCGAAGGTTTCTCAACATTCAATACCACAACTGGAGCTTGCTGTTTGATGATAGATCCTGCCGCTTGCAGCTCATTCAACAATTTCTCCAATAACAAATCCATTTTGTTCATATTATAGTTCAACCGAAATTGTTGAAAACTGTCAGGCAAAGTCTGCAGGACCATCTCAACTTGAGATTCCTTATCAATCATATCTCCAAGGACCTCCAGTTCATTCAGAAGACCCATCATCTTCAGAACATGGTCCCTTACCGATGATCCTTCAGCTATCTTGGTGTTCAAAAGGGCTTCCATGGCTGTTTGCTTAGCCGCACAATTTTGCTCACCAAACATCTCTTTGAGACTTTTGAGCATGTCGTAAGCAGACCCCATAGACTGATGTTGATGTTGCAAAACATTCGCCATAGAGGCAAGAATGTAACATCGTACCATCTCATCACCCTCGACCCATTTGTCATAGGCCTTAACATGATTATTAGTAACATCTTCATCAGGTTTTTCTGGACACTCCTCAGTGATTACAAATTTATAACCTTCAGCAGTTAGGACAATATCAAGGTTTATTTTCCAGTCAACATAATTCGATCCTTCTAACTTGTTTTGGTTCAAAATTGAGGTAAATGGGTTGAATGAAGACGTGGTTAATCTGAGAAATATTCACATTAAATAGATTATTAGTTATGTAATTAGAATAATTAAATTCAAAACAACACATTACACATATAACCATGCTCATTGAACAATTAGATTCGTTAGGGAAACTTAACTATTCACACAAAATATATGAGTTATGTAAAATATTTACCCCATAAATTAAAACATGACCAACTCAGATTGAGAGTTAACTTTTAATTTAAAATAGGTAAATATCGCTTTTATAAACTCTAATTTTATTGAATCAACATGTAACTCAGTTGGAGAGTTAATACAAGTAATCAAATAATTAGAGGCAAAACTACAATAATGATCTATAATGAACTTATCCGATGTGGAAGAAGACCTATGTCAACATATAAATTTATTATATTACTGTAAAACATGATTGGAAACAATGGGAATTGAACCCAACCATCACTGTTTCTTAAAATAAATTATTTTTAAAAAAAAAATTCCAAAAAATGGAAAATGGCCAAAAACCCATCTAAACGGCCCTGAATGCCCAAAAAACGATGTACATCATGAGCGAAGATGATGAGTATTGTTCACTAGGTCGTTTCAGATGAACCTATCAAATTTGAGGTCAATCGGAGTTCGACAGAATTTCAGAATTCCAATTCATGACCTATTTGCAAATTCTGTTTTTGGCATTTTAAAGGGTTTTGATTATTTTGACTCGTTCATATCACATAATATACTCATGTATGTTAATCCATGATTTCAGAACTCAAAATAATATTATTATTTTAGAGTGATA